GTCATGTCCGGACTCACTTGTGGAGGGCACGTGTTTCCGTCCCTGTAGTGGAGATCCTCCTGGTGGAGATCTGCAACCAGATGCTCTTGGGAGAGTCGGAAACCGACAGTCATAGGAAGAGATGCTGAATGAGAGGTGAGGACACCAGGGAGATCCGAGGGAGATTTGGGTTAAGGTTATCAGGACCTAGGGAGGAACGGAAAGCATGAATAGACCATAGACAGAGACAGAGAATAGCTGCTCAGTCCGATGCGTTCTACAAACAGTACCTCACACTGAGTGATCGGGCAAGAAGATGTAAAAGGGCATGTGATGGGTGATTACAATCAGCTGGACTGCCTGTTAGCCCAAAGCACACGTGGCGTGTGTGTGACAGTAAGTTACACTTCAAGGAAGTTTTTTTGTTGTTGTTGTTGGGAAGTAGAAGAAAAAGGCATCACAGCTGTTGCTTGTTTGTATGGATACCTCTGAAGTGTAGAATAACCGTATCAACATTGGGTCCTTGATCAAGGTCCTTTATCCCAGAATCTGTTTCCTGGACGCTGGATAAATGGCTGACCAAATTGCAAATCGGAACATGCAAGATTGAACTTTGTGGTACTTGACTCCTTCTGTGCAATTACAATATTTTATTATATCCAATGAGAAACTGTATAAATTAGTTTTGGTTTGTTTTGTGTTTCACTTCCACTAAGAAGCCTTTTCTAATGCCCGTCTCATTCCTCTAACCCTTATATATTGAATTCCTTCAAAGTAGTGGACATTCGGAGATATTGCCTATGTCACCAGAACAGTTGCTCATATTGTGGGCAGTTTGTGATACAATTCCTGCATGACACATGAATATGACCGAGTCCCTTCGCTGGAACTCATTAAAAAGGTGCATCCTGGCAGCTAGAGGCATACGAATGCAGATTTAATGGGAGGATGGCAGACAGAACAGCTCATGTGAGAAAAGAGGAACAGCATGTAGTCTCTGTGGTTAAGAAAATGCAGTTTATTCTGTTTCACTTCCATTAAGCAACTTCAACACACAAATCTTGCTTCGTGCCTGCCTTTCTGGGTGGCTGTCTCCCACCTTTATCTCTCTTATCTTGAATTCTTAGTTTTGTGGAAATTGCAAGATACAATTGAACCCCATCGCTGGAACTCATGCATGAACCTGAAATCCCGTCAAAACCAGTTTGGACAAAAAAATGAGAGGTGTGACCCTGACTTATATTTGAGGGCCAAGCAGGTTTTTCTCATTTGTCAAAGGATAAGAGGAAGTCATTGGTAAGAGATTTTTGGTAAAACTATTATCTTTGTCTAAAGGTATATTTAAGCTTCATCTGAACTAGTGCCATGTAAAAAATATGTTGTTTGTGGAAATATTTGATTGTTGTGCTCATCACGGAGCTCATCTGGTCGACATTTATAAAAAAATCCTCTTAAAATGAAGCTGTAGTTATTTAAATTTGTAACTTCACAGAACTGCTTAGTCGTTTTCTCCTGACCAAATATTGTGGGCCAAAGCCAAAATTGCCTGGTCAGAGTCCAGATTTGAACCTTATGGAGAATATTTGGTCTTTGTTTTGTAGTTTTGGTTTTGGCCCATATTTTTTGCCCAGGAGTGTACATTTATAAATAACTCTCTAAAAATCTAATTGTTATTTTTAGGAGAATTGTTATTTTTCCTTGTCTGTTGTAAGTAACTTCCACACACAGAAACACATTTTTGTGCAATATCCTGGTGAAAGACATAAGGAATTAAAAAAATATATATATATGGCTGTAAAACAGATTTTTTGGATTCTGTCATTTGACAAAAGCATGTCACACCCTGCCCATCTGACTCTCCTGTTTTTTCCTAACGTGGCCCAAACAAGCCACACTTCGCGTTTGTTTCTCTTACCTCTCATTCCTGCCCTCATGTTACTCACGTTTATTCTGTCACATGCACTGGGACTAAAGACTCGGGAGCAGGCATAGTGAAGCAACAAAAAGTGATTAATTTGGGAGACTGAACAGAACTGTGGGAAAAAACTGGATCTCAGGGGACCAAACAGAAGGCTTTGGCACAGGCAACACAAAGGCACAACGTTAATAACAGATCTGCAACAGGGCAGGAACGAGACGCAAGACAAACGAGCACCAGGCGTGGCCCTAAGGAAAAACAGGAGGGACAAAGGGGCGGGGCGTGATGAAACAGTTATGTGCAGTTTTATTTAGAAGAGTTTCTGCCTCTGGTCTGTGGGGACAACAGAGGTAAAGATGTGAGGAATACAAGGATGTTGTAAGTCCACAGAGTCAATGGAGGAGGAGATTAAAGTTTTTTTTTCCATGGTGACGATTTAGGGGAAGACAGGAGGAACACAAGAAAGTCCTGAGACTACAGTGACAATGGAGGACAAGACGGATGGAACGCAAGAAAGTCCTGAGACCTCGGTGACAATGGAGCGCAAGACGGATGGAACGCAAGAAAGTCCTGAGACCTCGGTGACAATGGAGCGCAAGACGGATGGAACGCAAGAAAGTCCTGAGACTACAGTGACAATGGAGGACAAGACGGATGGAACGCAAGAAAGTCCTAAGACCTTGGTGACAATGGAGGGCAAGACCGAAGGAACACAAAGACCTGCTCAGCCCACGTCGATAAGTATACGGCAGCAACAGGGGGTACGTCCAGTTATGTCTTTCTGTATTCGCTGATGGATAATGAATTAGCTTGGTTTCATGAAATTTGTTCAGGAACGAAAATAATGATGCGTTTAACCACTGCAACTCTTTACTATCACTTTTCATTTGCTCCATACCAGCATCCTTCCCCTTATTTTTCTGTAACAGATTGTAACAGAAATGATGATGGGAAAGATGAAAGGCAGAAAGGATATAAAATGCTGTACATTTTAAGGTATAACAACAGAGCACATAACCTGAGTAATTTTATTCTAAACGCTTGCAGTGTTTCAGCTCCATTGCATCCCCACGGTTCGCTTACAGGCGACTGTACTGTAAGTGACACAAATACGTGAAAGTCCATTTGTCTCTGTGTTTCTGGTTTCTGGTGGTGTAGTTTCTCCAGGCTTCGCTTCCTTTCTCTCCAGGAGATGCTGGCATGTTTTTTTCTTTCTGTCTTATCCAGACACGTCTCGCACATTATAACCTGCAATTACGCATTAGTTTCAACATTCTAATCATCTGTGAAAGCCCACTGAAGCACACCTCTGAGACCAGGGTCTGCTATGGCTCCATGTGTGTTCTGGGTTGTTCCATGCCCTGCGATTGGTTGGCATCCCACCCTGGGTTGTTCCCTGCCTTGTGCCTGTAGTCTCTCAGATAGGCTCCGGACCATCCATCCCACCCCGTGACCCTGAATTGGACAAGTGTTTAGACGGATGGAAACTCCCAATGGTGGAAATTGAAATGGGGTGGGGGTAATTCAAATAAAATCCTTTACAGTTCATTAGAATGTACACAGAAGTGTTGTATTCAAATGTAGGACAATTGCAGAGCTTTACTTTTCAACACAAATTTCATTGAAAGGATTTTTTTGCTCATTAATTTAGCTATAAGTGCAGTTTTACATGTAATTCCTAGGTTTTAGCAGTTACTAAAGCTAATTGTGATTACTTTTGAATACAGATCTTTTTGCAAATCTCTTTACAACAGATAAAATTCTTTTCTGAAACATGTAGCTGCAAACTGCCTCCCGGATTTTTTATGAAGAAAGGGTCTGAATCCTTACCTGTTGGTGAGTTCTCCTGCAGTGAGATTGCAATACAGTAAAATGTTTCAAATGGTTACTCAACCTGCTACTGAGTTACAGTGAGGTGTGGAATGTGTGATTAAGCATTTTTTTAATGATCATTTGTAATATGCAGTGAAGGAGCCATCAAAATCCATGAGAAGTGAAAAGAAGCCGAGAAACATCTGTAGGAAGCCCTCATCTCCTCAACATCACAGAACCTCCACATCTGCAACGATTAACATGGATTGGGTTTTGGAACTGGTGAGTTTAATTTCATCAAAGTGGTGAAAAATTTATCAAACCAAACACTTCTGAAGTGGACTCAATTATTTAAATTTAACATGCAGAATTTAGGGCTATTGGAGCGTGATCGTTTCAGAATCACTGAAAACAAGATTAAATCACTCTGCAAACAGGATTAAATCAAGGTTATATCAGGTTATATGTTATCAATCATGAAGATGACAGCACCATATTTTTTAATGATTAGTCCAAAGTGTTAAGTGTCATGATTACATTTTTTTTCTCAGCTGTCAGGAAATGAGAACTTATTTACACCAGATGTGGTGGAAACAAGTAACAAGTCAGAATTCAGGTAATCCAGCTGGGTCTTATGTAACTGAACTTCAACATCACTGTGTGAAGCCTGCAAGTGGATAATGAGGACATCCACCAATCAACTGACTTTTCCAGTGACTTTTAACCACTTCAAATATGAATCACACTGTCCAGTGTAGAGTACATGATAATCATGTTACAATCATGGCTTGACTGGTTAACTGAGTCTCTCCTCCAACCTTGGTTCTCTGATACAGGTTCCAGGTGAAACATCCTGGAAGGTTCTTCTGCTGCGTCACAGGCTTGGTGTTTGTGATGGAGTCCAGCGGGCAGGTGACCTACAGCTTCTGCTCCTGGGAAAAAAAACCTAAGATCCCTGGCAGCTGGAGTCTGGCGGGGCCCCATATTAACATCGAGTGTCCCCAAGGGACCCTGAAGGAGCTGCACCTCCCTCACTGTGAGATGTCGTTTGCAGGTAAATTTTACAGGCTAATGTGAAAGTTCAGATATTTCTTACTACACTTGCCCAGGATAATTTACAAATTCTATGTTACAGTAAGACTGCAATCTTAATACAGTTGTATATTCAGTAAGGTGAAACACAACTCAAGGAAAAAATCCAAATAGCACAATCGTTCAACATAACCTGAACAAAACCAGAAAAAGCAGAGTTGAGTTTAATCATAGCTCATACATGGTTTGCAGCTGTACTATTATTCTAGTTTTGGACTGAAGTTGAGGGTGTTGAGTTTGTGCCAAAGGCAAATTAGTAATGGTGTAATTCTAATGTACAACATATGGACACAAGTATTGGGAGACTCCTCTTAATCATTGAATTCAGGTATTTCATTTAATTGTGTATAAGATCAAGCACCTAACAATGCGATCAGGTTTACAAGCATTTGTGAAACAGTGGGTCATCCTGATGGGCTCAGTGAATTCAAGCATGGTACTGTCATACTGTAGGATGCTGCAATTGCAATAAGTCAGTTCATGAAATTTCTTCTCTGCTAGATATTCCAGGGTAAACTGTAAGTGGTATTATTGCAAAGTAGAAGCATTTAGGAACAACAGAAAGCAGACCACGTCACGTAAAGTATCAGAGGGGAGTCACAGAGTGCTGAGCATAGTGCGTAAAAGTCGCCAACACTCTGATTCAATAATTGCAGAGTTAAAAACTTCCTCTGGTATTAACACCAGCACAAAAACTGTGCAGTGGAAACACGTTCTATGGAATGAAGAAAATATTAATGAGATGTGTTTTGTGACACCTAGAAGTTAGTAATATATATAAACTTAGCGTATCATTATGTTTAGTAAACCCCGTTAGCGGAGCACAGCACATGCGACTGTTTTGGTAAATCATGGAAGCGATAAGCACTGAAGTGGCGGTGAAGAAAGGAACAGGTCAGCAGCCATGACATCTTTTAAAAGAGGAGATCTTTTTAAAAGAGGAGATTCTTGTGGGGTGTGGTTGCGGCCCCCCACCCTCGCTATCAAGGGCATTCCATGGAGAAATTCACACGCACCCAACACACGCATACATGTTCAAACACCTCCCCCAAACAGATGAACACACATGCAAATACACCTCCACGCTCCCTTCCAAGCACATGCTACAATCTTGTATGTCTGTATATCTGTTTTATTTTCTTTATTTCTGGTTGTGTTGTATTTATCCTTTTTTGGTTGTATTTCAAATATTTTTTTTTCTTGCCTTATGTGCTTTTTACGTTACTTCTGTCTTTCTTAGCCTCTCTGTCCCACTGTTGTCTCCGCCTTTGTTTGTGTTTTTTTGTTTTTTTTCTCTCTCTCTCTTTCCTTCTTTCTCTTTCATTTCTCTCCCTACCCCTTTTCTTCACTCATTTTCCTAATCTATCACTCCCTTCCGGGCAGCACGGCAACTGGAATATTTTACATGTATTAAATAAGATACAATAAATATACGAATAAAAATAAATTGACCAACATGAAGGGCCTATACAGAGTGTATAGAGCCCCTCATGGTAAAGCAAATATGTCTGACACAGCAGTGCATTCAGACCATTATTCTGCTTGCGAAAGCTGCCAGACAGGACACATTAAAAAAAAAAAAAAAAAAGAGGAGATCTTGTGGATAAACATGGTAAAAAGACGTCGGTGGTGTGGTGCTATTTTTTCAGTATTCCACACGTTTATTACACATAAAGATACAGTATGCCAAATTTATACAGATTGCTAACTTTTGGGCGTCATATGCATCATTAATATTATAGGTGTACTACTAATCTGCCTAAAAACTGTGGGCATAAGTAATTGTCCATATAGTAACGAAAAACTTTATTTTCAAAGTGTTAAAACAAATATATTTTCTATAAAAAAACAAAATATGGTTAAACCCCTAAAAAATACGTCGCTTTCAGCGACATTGCCTGTGTTGTTATGTTATGTCTTAAGTATCTGTGCATATAATGCAATGCTTGTGGTGTATGGGGACCAGCTAAATTTGAAGGAATCAACCATCACAGTCGTTAAAAAAATGGTCAAAACTCAGCTGGTAAAGTCGGTATTTAGGAGTTGCACTTTGGGGTCTTGAAAAGGACATGAGAAAGGAGACTGGGTGGTGGTTTGACATTGCAGGGGAGGGCAGGAGGGGGAGATGATAGAAACAGCCATTTCCTGTTCAAAAGCTAAATGAAATTGGATCTTCCAGCCTTCTTGGATATCACATTTTCTTACTGTATTAAGTGGAGACTTAGGAATCAAACTGAAGGCTTCTTACTTCTTCCCATAAGAATCAATCAATTTTGCTTCCAGAAGAAAACCTGGCTGTAGCACATGTAACCAAAGACAACATGGAGATTCTGCAGCCACAGAAGGTGACAGACACACATGTGGTCATCAGCATCACCAGCCTCTCTATTTTTGGAATCCTAAAGAGGAAAATATTTCCCAAGGTCCGAGGGCAAGTGCTACTGCTTCTCCGGCCTGGAGATAAAATCTTGAATGTGTTCTTGCTGCCCCTGAATGTGCCTCCTGACCAGGTGAGCATTTCTATGCCTTATTATTTCACCGATGCTCAACCACACACACCGTATCCCACCCAGTCACACTCTCTAACCAGCACAATCACTCTGATCATTTTTGAAAGCTCAACGATGGCCGAAAACCAACCTGATAGGATAGGAGAGAGCATAGTGCAGTGTGTGGTGAGATGTTCTTTTCGGTAGGAAGGAGCTGGTCCATTTTTGGCTTTGTAGATGAGCATTAGTGTTTTGAATCTGACGCTGCAGGAAGCCAATGGTGTGGGGTGGGAGAACTTGGGAAGGTTGAAAATAAGTCGGGCAGCTGCATTCTGGATCAGTTGCAGAGGACGAATGGCGCTCAGAGGCAGACAAGCTAGGAGGGAGTTGCAGTAGTCCAGCCTCGAGATGACAAGGGATTGAACAAGTACCTGAGTGGCCTGAGTGGAAAGAGAAGGACGAACCCTTCTGATGTTGAAGAAGAGAAATCGACATGAGTGGCAAAGATTAGCGATGTGAGAGGAAAAGGAAAGGTGATTGTCCATGGTTACCCCGAGGATGTGAGTGGTGACCGAAGGATGAATCGGAGAGTTGTCCAAGGAGATCACAAGATCCTGGTGTGGGGATGGATCACCTGGGATGAACATCAGTTCAGGCTTGCTGGGATTGAGTTTCAGCTGATGAGCTGTCATCCATAATGAGATGTCTGCCAGACATGCAGAAATCCAAGTGGAGACTTGAGTGTCAGAGGGAGGAAAGGAGAGGACATGTTGAGTGTTGTCTGCATAGCAGTGATATGAGAACTCATGTGAGGATATGACCTCGCCAAGAGTTCTAGTATAGAGGGAGAACAGAAGAGGACCAAGAACTGAGCCCTGAGGGATGCCAGTGGAGTGTCTGCATGGAGTAGATGTGGATCCCTTCCATGTCATTTGATATGTCTGACCTTCTAGGTAGGAAGTAAACCATTGCCATGCTGAACCACAAAATATATATGATTACATATGATTACATGCACTACAAGAAAATCCACATCAGGATCCTGTTCCGAGTAAATTTATATTTGAGAAATACAGAATTGATGTAGTAAACACAACAGTGAATTTTACATCAACAAATTAGTCATACAGTAACATGCTGCCTGGAAATGGCCTTATGACAAAAATAGAAGAGTATTTAGTATAACCAATATTCAATCTGCCGATATTCTAGCTTTGATCGCATGTTATTTTAAACAGGTATTTTAAATATCAGTTAAGCTAAACTGATTACATTTTTAGCTTTCAAACCTTTCTCCCAGCTGATGTAACAATGGCTTAAATACCAAAAGCCAAACATCGGGCTTTCTTGGTGGCAAAATCATTAATTACATGCTTGAAGTCTAGGGACAAAGCCAACTTGCTTTAAGTTGACAATATAGCAAGGTTGTTCAACCTCTCCTGAGACATTGTTGATCTCAGATAGCTCTTGATAAGTTTGAGCTGAACCAGCTCTTCACCCTCACAAGGATTCTGGAGGGTTCATGGGAGTTTGCCCAACCAGTCTACATGTGCTTTGTGTACTTGGAAAAGGCATACGATCGTATCCCTTGGGGAGTCCTGTGAAGGGTGCTTCTGGAGTATGGGGTATAGGGTCCACTGTTGTGGGCAATCAGGTCCCTGTATAAATGGAGCAAGAGATTGGTTCACATCACCAGTAGTAAGTCGGACTCATTTCCAGTGGGTGTTGGACTCCGCTAGGGCTGGCCTTTGTCACTGATTCTGTTCATGACATTTATGGACAGAATTTCTAGGCATTCAGGTATTCACTGAGAGGGGGGGGGGGGGTTGCAACGGAGTGTGAGGTGGTGGATGTGCACCTTCAATTCTGAAGCCATGGTTCAGAACTGGAAAAGGGTGGATTGCCCTCTCTTGGAGAGGAATGAGTTACTGCCTCAAGCAGAGAAGATTAAGTATTTTGGGTTCTTGTTTACGAGTGAGGGAAGATGGGAGTGGGAGATTGACAGGTGGAGCAATGCTTTTGATTTACCAGTGGATCTATATTACTACCCTCACCTATGGTCACAAGCTTTGGATAGTGACTGAAAGAATGAAGTCATGGATACAAGTAGCAGGAATGAGTTTCCCTCGCAGGGTGTCTGGGCTCAGCCTTAGAAATAGGGTGAGGAGCTCGGACATTCAGAGTATGCTCCTCTGCATCAAATGGAGCCAGTTGGGGTGGTTTGGGCATCCATGTAGGATGGCACCTGTACGCCTCCCTGAGAAGGTGCTTCAGGCATGTCCAACCGGTTGGAGACGCCAGGGCAAACCAGATTATGTCTCTCGGCTGGCCAGGGAATGCCTTGATATTCCCCTGGTGGAGCTAGAGGAGGTCTGGGCATCCCTGCTTAGACTGCTGCCCCCATGACCCAACCCCAGATAAGTGGAAGATAATGGATGGGTGGATGGTACATAAAATATAATACAGAAATCTATATGATGAGTATGTTAGTGTGCTTCACTTTATACCTTGGAGTTATTTATACTGATACTAATATCTGTTTTTCTAAGAAGGTTTGTAATGGTGCATTATGTAATAACTTGACAAAATGTAACAAATTTTCAGTAGATAAATTACTGTAAATTTAGGTAAATTTTCAGGGGTGCATTTCCTGAAAGCTTTTGGATGCCAAGTAATTCATTACCTTGTACATAAGAGAATTTATTTAATGAGTGTTTCTCAAAACCCTTTGTAACTACAGTAGTTCATAACATCATTAATAACAACCCACTCATTATTTTTTATGTTGTTCTTTATTTGAACATTTGCCTACTGTTCTGTCAACCGTAGACACAGAAGTCACCCAAAATGGATCACCAAAACATACTGATACTTTTTTTTTGGACAATGAAATAATAATAAAATAATGATGATGATGATGATGATGGGTTAGGTTTCCGGTTATAGTGATCAATTATCCAGTGATCAATCTGGATTCAAGAGCTTAATTTGGAACAGAATCATTCCTGTACAAATACTGTTTCAATAATTCATTATAGTAATAAAGTAGTCCACTTACAGGGTATATTTACACATAAACATAACAACATATGGAAAAATTTTCCTTTTTGTTACTTTTTTTTTTTACCTGCCTACTTTGCCTTGCGGGGTTACGGGCTGCTTTAGGCTACCTGAGGCTAATGCTGAGCTCACAGAAAACATGACAGGAAACGGTGCCACATGCTGAATTGTTCCCTGCCTTGTGGCCGTAGCCTCTGGGACCCCTGCGACCCTGAATAGGACAAACCGTTACGGAAAATGAATGAATGAATGGATGGGTTAGTGTTCAATATAAAATTATAATGTAGGCTATAAATTTGTTACTTTTTGTCTAGATATTACATAATACAGTGTTATTACATAACGTGCTGTTACAAGGGTTATAAAATACTTAGTTACGTTGTTTTGTAATAAATAAGGTCTTGCTCTCTGTCATTATCCACATGGGTCCCTTCAAGGAAATGAGGGAGATGGATCAGACAGTTGACAGGTTATGATGCTCATTGTCGATGTTACCCAACGCAGGTGCACCAGCAGATGCAACAGAGACAAAACCTCTTCATTCCTACCAGCTCATTGTGCACGCTCATTCATAAAGAGCTGTACAGGATGTCCAGTGACCACGAGGCAATAAGGAGGATCCAGCCAGAGGTGATGACCCAACCATGACCAAAGAACACGTGTTAATATATCCAAGTGCTATACAGTACCTGTCAAATGTTTGAGTACACTAGCTTGAAACCACAGTTCTCTGTGATTTAAACTACACACGCTTGTCTATTAACAGCAATGGAGGTTGGTTTTTATAGCCAGATGAGTCAGAATTGGATCCAACTACCATGTATTTGTAGAACATAAGGGGGTCAGTGCATGAGTTCTGCATTTGTAGTTACCATTGTCAGGTATGAGGGTGTCAGTTGCTTTGCTGGTGACTAAGTAGGTTATGAATTAACTGTACTTACACACAAAAACCTGCTTTCAGTCCCAACATTTTTGTGTGGTATAATACAAAATTCCTATTCCCATTCGACAAATCGTTTGCCAAACATACCAGTAGTCTTAGGCTTAGACTGGTATGTTATATGCGGCTTCTCTGCATATTTCCCAGTGACAGCTCCTTTTCTCATACATAAATGTTTAAAAAGACATGATCTGGTCTTTATTGCTGGGTTTTCCACCAACACTGCTGAATTCATGGAAATATAATATAAGTAAGTTTTATTGGCCAGCTGATGTATCGGTTGAGCCTTACTTCAGAGAATCGCTATTCTATTAGGATTACAGCAACATAACAACTTAACATACACCTCAGAATTGTGCAAGAACTATCTGGGGAACATGGAACAACAGTAAAACTTACACTAATGACAGGGTCTGCCCAGTCTACAAGCATCAATCCCTTTAAACTTGTATGGGACAAACTGGACAGAAGAGTCAAAGCAACCAGCAAGCGCCCTGAGTCTCTAGGAACGGCTGCAGAAGGGCTAGGAAGACGTCAGGTGATCTCCGGCTGAACCAAATGCCTCGTAGTTTTGGGGCTGTTATCAGAACAAATGGTGGGTGTTTGGGGGAATTCAGGAAGCTTATTAGATACAGCTTTGGTGCCCCATATTTTGGGCATTACATTGGATTTTGTTGCTTACAGGAAAATGTGATGTAAAACATGATAAAAACCTTATTTCCAGCAAGTGTAGTCAAACTTTTGATTGGTTCAAACTGCATTTGGTAAATATTTCACATACAGAAGTACAAAATACACTGTGAATTAAATGTAGCAATTAATGCCCTCAGGGTGGCTCATACCTCCAGGGTTGGGGGTGTGAATCCCACCTCGGCTCTTTGTGAGGAACAGTTCCCACTTTTAAACAGGGTTCAGAACATCACCAGCAATTTCCCCTCTTCACCTCTAGAATGAAGAGTTCGACTGCAGTTTTGACCAAACAATCCACCCAACTTTTGAGGTATTTCTGAACCGTGACGTGGTGGAAGTGGAGCTGAGTGTCTTGCAAGACAGCAGCGGTAAAGACGTGTGGCAGCGCATCATCAGCCTCACAGGTGATAATGTGCTACTTCTATACCAAATAAAAACAGAAGGGGCTGTGTGAGACCATCAGTAGAAGCACACGTGATTAACCACTGGGCAGAGATTCCAGTGTGGGCAGTGTGTACCTCTGATTCTAACTGCTTAATGCTTCACGTGTATCTGACTTATCTAAGAAAATACTTCACAGTTCATTGCACTGTGAAGGGCAGGGTAACCAGTAAAGGCCCCATTTAACAGGAATTCACACAAACCCGTTCAATCAGCTAGAGTAATGCCTAACACCATTTCAAAGTGACTAACTAAAAAGCCCTCAAAGAAATCCTTAACCTTAGATGGTGTTGTTTCTCCATCATCGTCTGCAACCTCTACAGGTCACGGCTGCAATCAAGTCTCCAACCCTTCATTAGTGGCCTGCTGCCTACCAGAACAGAAGTTTGTGCCCACAGGTAATTGGGATTTATTGCCACCTCTTTCATGAGCACTCAGACAAAAAACCTAAACTGGGTAATTATTTGGACTCGCACAGTTGTTGTTGATTGTCAGCTGTCCTGATCTGTCTCCATCTGTCCTGCCCTGTTCCTGTTTGGCCAGCAGAGGTCTCTGCTGGTCATCCTGTGTCCTCCTTTCTTGTTTCTCATTACCCTTACCTACAGTATTACCCATTTTCATGTGCCCCCCCAGTGTTTAGATATGCTGAAAATGCTTTGTCATGCTCCACATCTGTCCCACATATAGCCCTCTTTGTTTGTATGTGTGTTCCTGCTTGCGCCTTATCCCTTAGTTCAGTCATTGTAAATGCTGGTATGGGTTATTTTAGTGTTGTAGAGATTAGTATAGGTGCTGCTTGTCTATCTCCCTTCGTAGTTAGTGTTCCCTTCTCCCTCTTGCCCTGAACCTTGTCCCTGTGTTAGGTTAGCCCTGGACCTTCCTGATTGTTCTGACCCCTTGTAGTCCTTTTGTTTTTGCTTGTGTGCATTTTGTTTTTTAATAAAACCCCTCCAATTCAGTCAAAGGCTGCACATGGACTGTCCTTCCTTCTGACTGTGACATAAGCATGTCCTTATATAGGCTTTGGAGTCACTTCCTGCTTGTGTGGTGTTTCTGTCTTCTCAGGCTCTGCCCAGTATTCCTTTTCTGTTTCCGTATCAGCTTTCCCACTACATCCAAATATATTTTAATGTGGTCAAAAATGGATTTTACTAACTCAAAATCCACAGAATATACAGGAAATGTTTCATTTTGGTTAACAGGCCCTCAATGTTATATGGGACAGTCATCATAAATACTAATCATCACTAATAAATCTTTTTCAGGAAAATGATTCACTTGACTTTAGAA